AGTGCCGCTATCAGGAAATGATCCTCCCTGGAGACGAGAGTTAATAACTTTGATTTCATCAATGCTTTGGATAAAACTATTACTAAATTTGAGTGTTTGAACGAAATGGTTGTATATTATATTATCTTTGTAGAACAATGTTTGAATGATAAAGTAATTAGGTGGGTAAGTTTGATGCTTATGTAGAGTTATCAACAAACAAGAAGCTTTTTCAACTGGAATCACCCTCTTCCTTTCCTCCTATCTTCATCTTTTGGCTTAATATAAAAATATTTAACAAACTACACTTCTCATAACTTTAAATTAAAATTTTTCGTTGTACATAAGTTTTTTTTAATATTATTCCTTTAAGTGTCTACAGATCATGACCGTTGAAAAAGTCATTATTCATTTAGCTTTAGCCCATGGTGTAGTTTATAATTTTAAATAATTTTCTTTAATATTTAAAAAAACAAATTATAATATTTTAATTGGTAAATTATATGTTTAGTTCTTAAACTAATAGTTTTGATCCGTTTTAGTACCTAAAATTTAAAAAAAAAAAACTAAAATCATATGTAAATTTTAGCTTTTATTTCATTTTAGTACTCCTGTTCAAAACTTAAAGTTAAGTTTTGAAGAAAAAAATTAAAAGTTTAACTATTAAAATAGACTAAAATTGATAGTTTAAGTACTAAATGCGTAGTTTACCCTATTTTAATTTTATTCTCCTCATCTCTCTCCTCCCCACTCTTCTGCATGAGCTTCATTTTAATTTGGTTAATAAATTTGATATAGGCATAAAATCTAGCTCTCAACTTTAATAATTTATTTAGTTTGATTTGAATTTTAAAGAATTAGCTTTTAATATTATATAATTCAATCTCTAAAAATTAGTTTCTTTCATTGTTATCTTCTTCCGATTTTTTTAGACATGTTTCTCATGTTAATGGACATGAAAATAAAATGATGTAAATAAAAACCATTAATGAACTGAGAAAAAATATTTTTAGATTTTAACAAAAATTAAAACTTACTTGTTCATGATTTTTAGAGTATCCGCAAAAAAAAGAGTCAGAAAATGCCATTGGGAAGGTAGGATTAAGGGTCCTGGTATTACTCATAACACTGGTGGTATTTTACCTTAAGGGTGAGTTTGGTTCACGGAATATAAGATTACTAGTGGGAATGTAAGATTATCAGGAAATAGGATTATTGAGAATGTTGTATTTTGTGTTTGGTTGGTTTAGCAGGAATGCAAGATTATCGTATTTGGTTGGTTTAGCAGGAATGCAAGATTATCATATTTGGTTAAAGGAATAAAATATTATTGGAATGTATATTTGACCAAATTGTCCTTATTATATATATTTTTTTTAACAAGTTGAAAAAATATTTATATATTTTCTTTAAAAAATTTAAATTCATAAAATTTATATATTTTTTTTACAAAATTAAAAATATAAAAAGGTTTAAAGAAAGAGTAAAATTTTATTTTAATCCCTGAACTTCATATAAAATTTAAATTATATACTTTTTTTAAATCTAAAATAATTTAAGGATAAATTTGTAATTTAACATTAGTATAATTTTTATTATTAAATGACAAAATAATGATATTTTTTTTGGGGAAAATTAAGGGCATTTTAGTCAAAAATGTTGGTAATTCAATAATACCTAAGGAAATGGAGGTAATGACATTCTCGGTAATATACCCAAAAAAATCTAATATTAGTAATAAAACATTATCGGGAATGAGATTTCCGACCAACCAAACATGAAAATGTGGATTCTATTCTCATGGAAATCTCACATTCCTTGATCCAAACACCCCTAGACTGTAAGATCTGCAGATATTTGATTTAAAACTTTGAGCATTCTGCTCTAGAAGTTTGCCCATCATTATAAGGAAGATGTTAGGGGTCACATCGCATCGTTTTTTGAAAATTTTTATATTTTTACTAATGACTTAATTTTATATATTTTTTTAAATTTTATAATTTTAATCTTTAAAATTTTAATATAAATTCTTAAATTTATACTCTCTAACATAAAATTCTATGTCTATCTCTATCTATCACGAGTGGCAGATATATGATGCCTTATACATGCAAAATTATATACTCATTCTTTTGAAAAAAATCATTAAATTTAGTATAATATATTAGAGAAAGAAAAGAATAAGAAAATTTGAATATTAATTTCTAAAAAATAATACTATTAAATTTTTGGACCTAGAATTTTATACATCTAAATTCATCATTGCTAACCAGACCAATGGTTGTAAGATAGCATAATTCATCTTTCAATTTAAATTCCAAATAATAACATCATAAAAGAGATAAGATTTTTATGATTAATAAATTTTGAGTACTATAAATAAAATATAAATTCAAACTTTTTCATAGAAGCTTTTCATTTTATTAAAAAGATGAAATATCTAGGATTACAATGAAGGACATATATCTATAGAAGTTGACACAAAAATTAGTTACTTAAGATCACAAAAGAATCATACAAGGAAAAGACTAAAAATTTAATCAAGAAACTCTAACAAAAAATAGATACAAACAAATCTGACACATAGGTAAACAAACCATAAAATGAGATTAAACGGTTGAAAGACCACAAAAAAACCGCAAATCAAAATGAGCGACGTGAGAAAACTATCTACAAACGCAAATCACGTATTCAAAAACAATATGAGGGTCAAAAGAATGAAAGATCGACATGATAACAAATAAATATCATCTTAATCAGTCGTAGTGATGCTCAATCTAACTCTGCGAACAAAAATAAACAAAAATAATGGCCAATCGACCATAAACACGTCAAAAGATAACAAAATGTGTCATAAAGACAAAAATATGTTATAAAGATAGTTATTAACAACTAAAAAACAAAAAAAAAACAAAAATGTAATATAAGAAAATAAAAAGAAGAAAAAAACTGATAACGACAATGATCAATCCCAAAATTAATACTGTCACTTATCATCTAAAATTGAAAAAAATAAACGGCTATACCGTTTTTTTTAGAGAAAACCTTAAGACGATAAACTTATACTTTTTTATTATGAATATTAATTATTGCACTAAACCTTTACAAACATCTATTTGAATCCTCCAAGGAAGAACTGCTTAGAAATGAAAGAGAAATTGATGACTTCAAAAGTTCCAATGTATTGGGACATGCATTTTTTCCATTAGCACAAGCCTAAACTTGTAAGGTTCATTAAACTTAGCCAATACCTTCTCATGGGTAATCATCAATGGAGGTATTTTTTAAAGGTTTTCCCTCACATTAACAATTGTAAACATGAAGGACCTAAATGATAATATCTTATATTCAACTCTTATAGGTTGTGATTTGTATTTAATTACTTAGTTGGATGAATTTGGAGATGAAATTAAAATATTCAAAAGTTTAGAGACTAATTTATAAATAGGGACATAGTTTACGAATTAAATTAGAATGTTCAAAGGTTTAATGACTAATTTAAAATAAAAGTCATAGTTTAAAAATGAAATCAAAATATTTAAAAGTTTAAGGACCTATTTAAAATTAGAGTTATAGTTTGGAGACGTAGAATACAATTAAATCTAGGGTAAACTACGCATATAATACCGAAACTATCAATTTTGATATGTTTTAGAACCTAAACTTTTAATTTTTCAAAATTATACTTAATGTCTAGTTTTTCTTTCATTTTAGTATCATGTTATTAAAAACTTAATGCATTTAGTACCTAAACTATTACTTTTAATCTAATTTAGTACCTAAACTTTCATTTCTCCCCCAAAATTTAACGTTAAATTTTTAATGGGTTACTAAAATAAAACAAAAACTAAACTTTAGGTATTGTTATGAACAAATTGAAAGTTTAGGAACTAAAACAAACCAAAATTGATAATTTAGATATTAAACGTGTAATTTACCCTTAAATCTATTTATTCCATCATCAATATATAGATAAAAATCCTTATTTAAAACTTAAACTAATTTTTTAATAATTCTTATTTAAAACTTGAACTAACCGAAAATTCTAAACCTAAATTCATTACAATTAACAAAAGAAAAATATAGGTAAACTACATCACATAACATTATTATTTGTAAATTTTCAATTAAACATCATATTTCAATAAAATATAACTGAATCATTCAATTAACCAATTATAACAGTTAAATAATTGAATCATGGTAGTATTTTTATATCTCAAACGGTTGTTAAATATTTCAAACATAATGTCAAAATTAACTTTTAATATTTATCAAAATAACATTTTGATTCTTAATTGTTTTTTTAATATTTTAGATATAACATAAAAATTAATCCCTAATTCTTATCAAAATAATTATTTTAACCTCAATTTTTTTAAAGCATTTTAACTCTCAACATCTCATCTTAAAGACAAAAATCTTTAATATACGACTCTATAACTATTTTGACCCTTATTTTTTATTTTAAAATATTTTACCCTCCAACATAAAAAAATAAAACTTAATCATTTGTTAAGAAATGATTTTTTATCCATAAAAAAAAATTTGTCCCAGAACAAAACATTGTACACCAAAATACTCCAAGAAAGGAATAAAGGCCAATAGACCATTTAGTAAACATTGAAGGCTAATCTAGTACTATGCTAATATTTTATTCATGCAAAATTGATTTCATGTGTATACTTTATGTGGACAAATTACATCATAAATCACTCTATTATTATTCAATTACAATTACATCACTAAATCTTAAAAAGTTACATTGAAGCAGTCTAGCCACCGTCTACACAGTGACTAATGAACCCAAATTTTACTATAATAATAATAATATAGTCTCCTTTGTCAGATTTATCAAATTAAATACTCAAATAAAAGTACAAATACTTTCACAACCCAGTTTCTAGTTGTGTGAAACCTGGATTTAAAAGGAAGATAGCAACATCTTTTCACTTTAAAGAACAGAGTATGACTAGCGGGCAAGCAAGACTATGAGCATTTTCAAGGACGCAAGCTACCAGTTTCAAAGACAAACTACTTTGCCCAGTATGATAACATTCCAATAGATTCATATTCCGATATACTCTAACATCATAACACAAATATATAAGTGACAAAACACAGCTAACAAGAACATACTGCACTTTGAAGTTTGAATATTAACTTGACACTTTAAGAACAACACAAGACTCCCGTTTTAAGAACTCGAAAACAAACATTTCCAAGACGATTGCTGGCTACAGATATGGGTCCTAAAGGCTTTGCATTAAAGACATCTAACATCAGCACATCTACTTTAACAAAAGCCTCATGAAAACGACTTACCACAGTGACCGCTACCTGTTGAAAACCATAAGAGTAGATCATTAGTAATGGCTAACAAAGAACAAGATAATGTAAATTAAATGTCAAGGAAAAGAAAAATACCTTGCAAGCAGCTTGGAACAATCAACAATCTCCATGAGAGATGGCTCTAAGAAACAACTATCACAGTGGGCATTAGACACCAGGATGAACAAGACACGAACGACACTTTCAACTCAGCATGGAACTGATTAACCTAACAAGTTTCAGATGAAACAGATAACCACTTTACTTTTCCTTGCCGCCTTTTTCTTTACAAAAAAAAACAGAAAAAGGTGGCGAGAAAGGGAAAACAGAGAGAAATACCAAGTAAGACTATATTGAGGATATTTGATTGTTAAGCAGCCAATTGAGGCAATGCTGGAGAAAGGAAAGGAGTTGAAAGAAAAAAGAAAGGTCATATAGGCAGGCTAATTTAGTCTAAGGTTGAAAAAGAGAAACAAAGGACACTAAGAAAAAAGACCCAAGGAATTTGGGAAGCAATTTAGTAGGGGATCTACAGACTAGAGTCTATACACTGTATCAGAAATTAGCTTAAGGACAACAACTAAACAGACATTAATCACCAAGGACTCGATATTGTAAAGTCATCCACTACCAAATCATCAGTTTGATTTCATGTCAATCCAAAGATAGAAGACAATGTTTGGTTCTAACGAAACCTCCCCTTCGCTTCCTAATAGCTCAAATCATCTTCCATCCAAGCTTACAACAGCCACAGATCACATAGCTTGTGCCTTAAGTCAATCAGAAGTTCTCCTAAACCATCTCATAAAGGAAAGCCTGGAGATTGTCAACCTACCATCTCTCTCATATTACCACCCAAAGAAAGTTAAACCAACACATACTGACCCATGCTACCTGCTACCAACGGTCTTATTCAATCTCTATACAATCTAAAAAACAAACTTCAAATTTTGCACATGAACTTATTTACAGGAGCTGAAGAACTCCACTCTTTTCACTCTTCAGTATTGTCAAGGTTGAGAATGCGGCGTAAAGCCTTAGTCGCAGTCGCAGAGTCAGCACTAAGAAAAAGTTCAGCTACAGAAGGCTTCCCTGGTAGGAGATGCAGGTGCAGACTTAGCAGTTTGGTGAACATCTACAAACAGGGTCAGCAGCACGCAAATCAGGCGACATGGTCCTCTTCACCAAAGTGAGAATGTGGGTATCGGCACCAACGGTCTTATTCAATCTCTATACAATCTAAAAAACAAACTTCAAATTTTGCACATGAACTTATTTACAGGAGCTGAAGAACTCCACTCTTTTCACTCTTCAGTATTGTCAAGGTTGAGAATGCGGCGTAAAGCCTTAGTCGCAGTCGCAGAGTCAGCACTAAGAAAAAGTTCAGCTACAGAAGGGCTAGGCTCCCTGGTAGGAGATGCAGGTGCAGACTTAGCAGTTTGGTGAACATCTACAACAGGGTCAGCAGCACGCAAATCAGGCGACATGGTCCTCTTCACCCAAAGTGAGAATGTGGGTATCGGCAAAGAACTCGGAGGCGGCGAATTGGAATAAGCTGGTCCAGCCCAAAGCTCAGGATAAAGAAAACCTTCCCCTGAAATCTCATCGGTAAAAGGCTTACCATTTCTAGGGGTCCTACTGCTGTTGATAGGAATAGGAGAGCTTTTCCAGGTGGGTTTTGAGTGTCTTCCATCAGCAAAAGGAGATGCAAAAGGAGATGCTGTTTGGTTGAAGGAGTAGAATTATACTTAAATGGGGTTGGGAGCAATCCTGCTCCGGATTGAAAACTCCTGCAATTGACCCCTCTGAAATTTCTAGACGGTGGTGATGACCCAAATCTGGCAGGATCGTGTGGCTTCACCCTGCTACAGTACTGATTCCTATGGTGTGCCACCACAACAAGTGTCTCCATAACTCTCTTTTTCCAATTTTGATAATCAAAAGCCATATATTCAACCCAACAAACAAAAAGCAACCAAGTCCTTCTAAAATCCCCTAAATCCTTGTTACGAATCACTGAAGTACATAATAAAGGTAACAACTCTTGAGTCCAAAATCATGCCCAGATACAACTAAGATGGAAACTAAAATCGAACTGATTTACTTCTGTGAATAACTACTGGATTCAAATAAAAAAAACCCCACAACACTATAACCTCAAATCAGATAAGATCTTCATTGATCACAACCATCAGTCATCAAAACTGCAAAAAAAAAGAATCTTAAATTAAAAAAAGAGTAAACATAAAATTGGGGATAAATATCTCAAGATAAACTAGTGAGTGGGAAAATAACCGGAAAAAAGTGATGTTGGCCCTTGAAAAATGTTTGGGAGTGAAGTAAGATTTGATATCGTTTAGATCTAAAGAGGGAGTGAAACTTTCTTCTTCTTCTTTCTTCTCCTTCTTGTTCTTCCGGTGAAGGATTATTTCATGTAAATGGGTATCGGGTGAATCTTTTTTTTTTTCCTTTGATGCAGGAACTTTTTTCTTATCTATGTTTTTTGGGCTCAAATCAGCAAAACGCCATGGAAATGAGAGGGGAAGCTTAAGAGATAGAGAAGGAAGCAGACTCTCACGGTTCTGGAATTATTTCCTCACTGTTATATTTAAATATCGTTTCCATGTACTTTATGCTCCTCCATCTTTTTCTTTTTACCAACTTAGGCCTCGTATTTTACCTGATTTACGATTTTGACATTTTATCTATTTTTAGGTTTTTTTTGCCCAATACCTATACGGGTCAATTATTTAGGATATTGGGCCAACATAGAAACTATTTTGGGAATGACGACATTCTCTACAGTTCACACCGAACTTGTCATCTGGAGGTGACGAGTTCTATTAAATATGATTTTTAATAGGTGGGTCTCACGTGAGAAATTAAATTTTTAGTTTTATTGGGACTCATCACGTTGAGGTGACGAGTCCATTAAAAAATATTTTTTGTTAAAAAATTAAATTAAAAAAGGGGACTCCCTTTGAATTAAAAAAATAGTCGTTTCAAGCCTTTTGTTAACGATCAAATTCAACGGTCGTGTGGAACTCGTTACCTCGAGGTGACGAATTCCACCTGCTAAAAAAATTAGTCGTTGGAATTTAGGAATGAATAGGGGTTTGGGGTTTTGATTTCTCATCAAACCCTAAATCCAAAATAATTAAGAAAAAATCGACTTTTTGTGTAAAATCCCAAGAAATGGCTTCCCGAGCATAGATGTTGCACCTCAACAACATCCATGTTTCATCGAACGAAGTCCCGCTGGAGCAAAAGGGAGTATTCGTCAGCGCAGGATGACTTTGAAAGATCCACATAAACGAATGTTGATATATCTTCAACAATCCAATCTTTATCCATCCATATTTCTTCGTGGCTTCAAGGTCTATCCGGCGTTGATCGAAGCTCTAATCGAACATTGGCGGCCCGAGACACACACTTTCCATTTCTCGAGTGGTGAAGCGACGATTACCTTGGAAGATGTCACTTACCAACTCGGTGTTCCTATCAATAGAGACCCGGTGGTGAAGCATAACATGTACGACCCCTTAGAGTTGGTGTATCAAGTTTTGGGAAAGTGGCCGCCATCAAATGCTATAGAGGGCTATCGGGTAAGAATAATGTGGTTGGAGTCTGAATTCGCAGTAACCAGTGACTTTACTGAGAACAATGTTATTTTTTTGTCCCGGGAATATCTTCTCCAACTTATCTGAGGGATATTATTATCTGATAAATCCGGTAATTTAGCGCGCACACAATATTTACAAATATTAGATGACTTCGGCAAGTGTCACAGAACCATTTGGGGCTCGGTGATTTTAGCATTTCTATACCGAGAGCTTTGCAAAGCATCTATTGTCGAGCATGGTCGAAAAGTCGATGTAGCATGGTGTCTGATACTACTACAGTATTGGGCATGGTATTAGTTCCTGTTTTTTTACGCCGATTACAACAGATCCCTCGAGTTTCCTCTTGTCGAAAGGTAAATTTCTAACATTATATTTTAAATTTGATAAACTTAATTAATAATTTTACTCTAGTTATAATTTTTTTAATTTTTAAATATTTTATATGGCGCCATAAAATAATCGATACGAAGTTATCGGGTGCGACAACAAAAACTGTACGGATGAAGATCGACATCGCCAGTCGATATGCGATATATAATTTTTCTTTTATTATTTTTTTTAAAAATTTTAAACTTTATATATATTAACTTTGATATTTAATATTTACAGTTTTTTCCTTCCATATATTAATGACGAGATCCACCGGTTATTATTGCGGGATTTTTTTTAGGAGTCTGAGTTATGGTGTGTCGTGACGTCGTTACTAGATTTATTTGGCGGGAAAATAATGTGATTAAATGGTTTTTAAAAATTTTGGGAGTCGCCATCGGCCTTTTGGGTCAGGTAGGTCGAATACTAAAATTATCTTTTAAAAGAGTTTTAAGAAAACATCAGTTAAAAGATAAATGATCTGCGTTTAACCAAAAATTCATTCTTTTAGAAATAAAAAGGGATTCGTGGTCTGTTACGTTTAGGGAAGGATTAGCACCCCTACAACGCCCAAAATTGATACTTTTTAATTATAAATTGTCTCTATTATTAAAAAAATCAAATATATTTAATTCATAATCCTTTTATTTCAAATTTATAATTTTAAGAAAATATATTAATATATATAAATAAGATATTTATTTATTTAGAAATATCAAAAAAGAGCTTCTAGGTGCTTTAAGACAGCTCTTTTCTTCGATAAAATAAATAACTAAAACAAAAAATTTATTTTAATATAGTAAGATATTTTATTTATTTAAAATATTAAAAGAACTTCTAGTTACTTTAAGACAGCTCTTTTTTAATATTAAATAAATAAATACCTAAATCATTTTCTTAATAAAATAAAATTAAACATATAGTTCATAAATAGGATTTTTATTTCATAGAAAACAAATAAAATAAATAAATAAATATTATTTTTATTATATATTTATATTACTAAGATAATAATAATAATAATTAAAGTAATCATTTAAACATATTGGATTTGAAATGATAATAATACAATTAAATTGTAATTAAGTAGGGACTAAACATATTAAAATAAATAAAAATATTAAAAATTAAAATTTACAGCCTTTTTATAGTATTATAAAAATATAATTACTATGTAATTAATCCTAATTATTAATAGGTGATTAAAATAAGATTATTAAAATTAAAGGTTCTAACTCGAATGATAAAAAGATCTAAGTGCTAATAATATATTTAGCCTTATTTAATTAATTCGGGTTAAAATGATTTACTAAACTGTAAAGGACTTAGGTATTTACCCTAATAAATATATATGCAGATAAGGACTAAAATAAAATAATAATGTAAAGACTAAATTTTAAATAATTAGAAGTTGATTGTAGTGACTAATTTGTAAATAATAAAAACTCGAAGTGACCGCGGACGAGGTTTTCCCGTGAAGGGAATTACGCACATACCCTCATCAAAACGGTGTCGTTTTGATGAGGGTATATAAACCCTATAACCGGCCCCTAAGGGCCAAAGCTTCTCATTTGCCTCTTTCCTTTCTCTCTCTAAAATGAGAGAACCAGAGTTCTCTCTGGCTTCTCTCTAGTTTCCCTCACCGAAGGGAAACCGGCAGCCATAGGCCACCGTACTCCGGTGGCCGGAAATTACAAAAATACACCAAAATATAGATCGGGACGATCTAAAACCGTTTCCGGTGTTCTTTTTCCTTAAAAAGCCCCCAATCGGAGCAAATCTACGAAAGTACCTTCGGTTTTCGAAGGTTTTCGATGACGTGTGAAGGCTTCGGTGATATTGCAGTAAGTATCTCTCCGTCTTCTCCTTGTTTATTTTTGGGTTTGTGGTTGTTGGTTGTTCGCTCTGTTTTGGCTCGCTATCTCTTTTTTTGTTTTTTTGTTTTTGTTTTTGCTTTCTGTTTTTCTCTTGGGTTGTTGTTGTTTTCTGCTGTGGTCGTCTCTTTCTTGCAGGTGGGGTGGCTTTTATAGCCACCACCGAGGCTCTCGTTGGACCGATTCCAGAGATGAGTTCTGGTGAGTCACCAAACTATGTGGTGACTCACCCCATAGCTGCGACGTGGACGGCCGGCGTGGTGTTTCTGGAGTCTTCGAAGAGGCGGTGGTGTCGTGGCTACAGCGGGGTGGAACACCTGGAGGCGGCAGCTGGGCTCTTCTGGAATCTTGGAGGCGGTGGCAGCAGTGCTAGGGTTTAGAAACCCTAGCTAAAACCCTAAATGTTTAGGGTTTTATTTTGGTCTGGGCCGGTTCTGGTTGGGCTTGGGATTTGGGCTTGTAAACGGGATTGGGCCTCTGATATAATTTGTAATATATATATTATATATATATATATATATATATATATATATATATATATATATATCTATATAATATAATAAATAATAATATTGTATTAATATAATATTTATAATAATAATAATAATTTTAATAATAATAAACGAAAAATTAGTGTTTATAGTTGCCCCTCTTTGCTCATTCTTGTGTTAACAAGAATAGAGCAAAGACGAAAAAAACAATAATTTTTCATTTGACTACTTTTGAGTAAGACTGAAATGTTGAAAACATCATTTCAGAGGTCTTAAAAACATCATGCACTGAAGGGCTTACAGATGACCTGAAGGTTTGAAAACATCAAAAAGCTCCCGAAGGCTTTTTGGAAACATCATGCACTGCAGGACTTACAGATGACCCTAAGGCTTTGAAAACATCAAAACCTCCCGAAGGCTTTTGGAAACATCATGCACTGCAGGACTTACAGATGACCCTAAGGCTTTGAAAACATCAAAAAGCTCCCGAAGGCTTTTTGGAAACATCATGCACTGCAGGACTTACAGATGACCATAAGGCTTTAAAAACATCAAAAAGCTCCCGAAGGCTTTTTGGAAACGTCATGCACTGAAGGAATTACAGATGACCCTAAGGCTTTGAAAACATCAAAAAGCTCCCGAAGGCTTTTTGGAAACATCATGCACTGCAGGACTTACATATGACCATAAGGCTTTGAAAACATCAAAAAGCTCCCGAAGGCTTTTTGGAAACATCATGCACTGAAGGACTTACAGATGACCCTAAGGCTTTTAAAACATCAAAAAGCTCCCGAAGGCTTTTTGGAAACATCATGCACTGCAGGACTTACAGATGTGTGAAATAGTTTACTAAGTAAAAAAAAAACTAAGGAACTCGTTTTCTTACTTTTCAACAATTTCATTTTTAGAAAAGATAAAATGAGAAACTATGGAAATCGTTTTCATTATGTTTTTGAAATAACATATTGATTAGGTAACATGCCCTAATCTCAAGATAATGCCCATTCTTGTGGATTGTGTCCATCTCTTCTTCAGATGTTTGCGTGATTCCTGTATTTTTGGTTTTGAATACCTTCTTCTTGTAAGGTATTTTTTACCTTCTTCGTTCTTCCGAAGATCTGTAAAACTTCATGTTTGAATGCACTCAGATGCATCAATGTGATGCATTGTGTACTGTGTAAATGATATTCTTATGAATGCATGAATGTTGATGC